CATCTAATTTATTGTTTCTCTTAGCTAAATCATCAAAAGAATAATAATTAGACAGGGTCTATAGAAAATTATCATTTCTTTGGTTGAAAATTATCAAATTACCAATACATTTTCATGGCTCAGACTCAAAATTACAACTTCTATAGAAGAAGAATTGATGCCTTTGAGTTGTGGTGCTGGAGAAGAGTCTTGAACATTTCACGGACCGCCAAGAAAACAAACAGGTCTGTCTTGGAGAGAGTGAAACCAAGTTTCTCCTGAGAGGCAAGGATTTTGAAGGTCCGTCTTACATACTTTGGGCACACGGCCAGCAGAGACCAGTCCTTGAAGGACATCGTGCTTGGAAGTGTGGAGGAACAGCACAGGAGAGGAAATCCCTGGATGAGATTCAGTGATACAGTGACTAGGGCAATGGGTGTATGTGTGTTGGAGTCGGTGAGACTGGCTCAGGACAGGTCTGGATTCAGAGCTATTGTACGTACGGTCACTATAAGTCACAGGCCGTTCGATGGCACATAACTACAACAATAAAATAATGTCACAAAGTAATATTTTATTATAGCATAACTATTAGAGAAGGATACTAAGAGACAAATCAATCCCAGTTCTCCTTACCAGAGACATCCTTGAAGAAGACCTCCTCCTAACTGTGTTCACTGTGACCGTCTGAGTTTGCCTGTAAGATAGGACATATCTTATTATAGAACTATGTCTCTATAACAATTTATATCATTATGCAATATTCTGAACTCTACCAAATTAATGTAGGTTTGAAAAAGTAAAAAGACAAAATCTAAAGGGAAAAAAAAATACAAAACAAATCTACAAATCAGAGAACACAAAGAAGATTGCCTGTCCTCACTCAGGACCTGTCCTCATTTCTGCAGCCCTGACTCTTGACTCCATGCTGGGCTCTGAGCCTCTTCCTGGAGCATCCATGGCCTGCCCCGTCAGAGAGGACACCAGTAGTGTCTTTCCCAAGTCCTTCCTGGTAAAACCACTGGGCTGGTCATTACCGATTACCAGTGTCCACCACCGCTGAGGTGATTCTGACTCATAGTGACCTTGCAGGACAGAGCTATCCCACTGGGTTTCCTTTAAAGGCTGTAACTCTAAAGGAAGCAGCTGCCACATCTTCCTCTCACACACTGGCTGGTCAGGTCGAACTTCTGACCTTTCAGTTAGCAATCAAGCCATCTAACCACTCGCAGTGGTGGTTATGTGCTGTCAAGTTGGAACCAACAAACAGCTTACTGTTTGGGCTTTCAGAGGTATGATCTGAGACTGTAACTATCTTTCTCCTTCAGAGCAACTGATGGGTTCAAACTGTCTGCCTTTCGGTTGGCAGCACACCCTCCTCCCCACTAGGCCACCAGAGCTTCCTTTAACTACTTATGAGGGGCCATTAGCAAGAGAAAGTAACCTAAGACTAAATCACCCACAAGCTCATGCAGGGGAAGCGGAGTTCAGTGCAGATACATCTGTCCTGGGGCTCAGGTGCGCTCAGATCGTCCCCATTAACTGACCTAGGGAGTGACCAACTCTGCAGCCCCAGAGCCTGAAGCAGGAACAGTGCCTTTAATCAAGTGTCTGTTAACCACAGACCACAAACATAATGAAGAGGGAAATTTATCACTTTGGCAACTTCAGAACACCCTTTCCTCTAAGGGAAAAAATCAGATAAAATAATAAAATAGAAAATTTGGTTCAGTGGGTTTGTAAGAAACTTCTGATTGTGATGGTGCTGATATTGTGTGCTGTTGAGTCAGAATCAACCCATAGTTGAACCTTCAGTAGGTTTTCAGAGACAGTAAATTTCACAGGAGACCATCCATCCTTCTCCTGTGGAGCAGCTGGTGGATTCAAACCATGTGCCTTTGGAATTGCAGTGGTGTTAGGACTTTTTTTTTATTTTTTTAATATTTTTTTAATTTTATTTTTGTGTGCGTGTACCATCAAATCAGATCTGACTGGTACTGGAGGAGATTGCTCCTCCTTCCCTGGCAGAGCATCTGGTGGATTCGAACCGTGCACCTCGGGGATTGTAGTTGCAGCTTCTTGCCACTAGGCCACCAGAGCTCCCCTTAGGACTTTTTTAAAAGACTTTTCTAGCCACTGCCTTAGCCCCTGAAGGGGTGTGCTCTCCAGCTGCCTCAACTGCAGACATATGAGTCATAATTCACCAGTGTTTTCCACATTATCAACAGCTGTGGGACCAACATAAGAGGGAGAGCTAACCAGACCGCAGAGAGACTAACAAGGAGTAGCCTGATGGGGCCCTAGAGACAGAGCCAGAAGAACTAACTGGAGACTGCTAATAGAGGGGGCTTCCTGGACAACTGAGGAAACCAGGGCAGAGGTTTATTTGTGTTGCTGGACTTAACCTGGACTTTCACTGTATGACATTTGCCCTCCCCTGCCACTCACCCCTCCCCATTTCCTTAATAAACGCCACAGCTTTGACTGTAAATATCAGACCCTTTGATTAGTAAAAGCATGTGCAAAAGCATGGGGGACTATGTCTTACCATGGGATCGGTTTTCTGTACCAGATGTTACTGAAAGGGGCAATTCTCCTTTGTGGAGTTAGTGAAAATCAGGGATTGGCTAACCCCACACACACACTGCTGTTTCTTCATTTATACTGACTTTAAATGTATGTATTTTTTAAAAGCAGGGTATCAAAGGAGACTTCTGTCTCCAAAAAAGAGTAGCACAGACTAGATTTACCTTACTATAAAACAAGAAGGATAAATACTGTATAGCATTGTTGTTATAAAGTAAAACAGACATAAAGGGGTTGGGGACAGAATGGAAAAGAGTAAATAGGAAATGAACACTGCACTAGAACAGATGAGGGGAAGGACTGTCTGAAAGAAATATATGATTGTGCATTATCTGTATGAGAATAATCTGGAATAAGGGGTGCATTGTAGGGTGGGAAGGGGGAGGGAAGGGGAGAAAATGTGCAACAATGGATAAATAAATGGGGGGGGGAAGGGAGGCGGGAGAGAATAACAATGTTCAGACACTAGAATAGATGGTTTTGAGCAGGGGGGAAGCAAGTGAGGTGAGCCCCTACACCTGCTCATGCCAACAGCATGAACACAGCTTCTGGTCTACAGCAGGGAAACTCAGCCCTTTAAGATTGCTTGAAAAAAAGAAAAGAAAATAACATTTTAAACAAGGAAGATTGCTTGGGTGCTGCCTGAAAAAAGTTTAGCAAGCAAACCGAAAAACATCCAAACCCTTTTCAAGTAATTTAACCACAAACTAACACAAAATTAATAATAGTATTTGAAGGAAGACAAGGATATCTGAATCTCAATGAGGTAAAATTGACAAGATCTAGAATCTATTAACACATAACTAGGTAAGCAAAGAGACAGGAAAACACAAACTCTCATTGCTGGTCTTACGTGTCATGAAATCAAAACTGACTCTTGGCTGACTCTCCAGAGGACTTTTTTTAGAGGCTGTAAGCTGCACGGGAGATTGTCCATCTTCCTCCCATGGAGCAGCTGGTGGATTCAACTGCCTGCCTTTGGGCTAGAAGCACAATTCCTTACCCACTAACACCTGACAATTCAAAAGCAAAGGCAAAATAAGTTTTCAGACATACAAAACTACATCACAGGTGAGCTCTGCTGCGATGGTCTATAGGGAGCTGGGCTGTTAAGGCGGAAATGCATGGTTCTCCACTGGTTCAAATCCTCCAACCGCTCTACCGGAGAAAGATGGACAATCCTCTTCCACTCAATCTAAACACAGCCTCCGAAAACTCACCAGACGATCAGCTGTGAGACAATTCTGACTAGACAGCAGTGAGGAGCAGGTTTTCTTGAGACAATAAAATGTGTTTTAGAAATCCTTCAATTCACATACACTGTGTTTTATACAATCTTTCATTTACACTGTATTTCATACAATCATTCATATACATTCTATTTTACATTATTTTTTATACTAGTTTACAAAATTTAAATACATTGTTTTCACACATTGATATACATTGTTTCAACACTATGTATATCAATGAAAACTACTGTAAAAGGTATTATTATATGAAAAGCAATAAAAAAATTTAAAATATTTATTTTAAAAATATTTAAAAGAAGTCCTTCAAGGAGGACTAGATGGAAAATGGTACTAATATCTGGATTGACACAAAAAATAGAGCCCTAAAAGAAGTAAATATATGAGTAAATATGTTTATATATTTATTTTTGCAATCATTTACAAATAAAATCTAAAGTTTAAAGAAGGAAGTATGGTTGTTATTGTTGTTACATTCCATCAAGATGCCTGCGACTCATAGTGACCCAATGTACAACAGCCCTAAACCCTGCTCTATTCTGTGCCAATCTTATTGTCTCCGACACACCTACACCCATTACCCCAGTCACTGAATCAATCCACCTCATCGAGGGTCTTCCTCTCTTGCGCTGACCCTCCACCCTCCCAAGCATGATATCCCTCTCCAAGGACTAGTCCCACCTTGCAGCATGTCCAAAGTATGTCAGATGATGCTTCAGAATCCCTGCCTCCAAGGAGCAACCTTATCTCATCCTCTCCAGGATGAATCTGTTTGTTCTCCTAGCAGTCCATGGTATGTATATTCAATACTTTTCTCCATCACTGTAGCTCAAAAAGCATCAATTCTCCTTCTATCATCCCTAGTCATTGTCCAACTTTCTGATTCATAGCAAGTAACTACAAAGACTATGGCTTGGATCGGGTGCATCTTAGTTTCCAGACTGACATCGTTGTGATAGAACTTTGCAATCAACAACTTATTCATTGCAAATACATTTTATAAGAAACAAAGGGAGGCTATACACATGGATTTCACCTGATGGAATGCACAGAAATCAGATCGATCACATCTGTGGAAAGAATCGCTGGAGAAGCTCAATATCAGCCGTGAAAACTAGGCCAGGAGCTGACTGTGGAACTCATGTTACTGTTGGGTGCCATCAAATCTACTATGTCTCACAGCAATCCTATGAACAACAGATCTGAATCCTGCCCTATCTAGAGCCATCTTCATCATCTCTGCCACACTTAAGGCTGTTCTGCAGTCACTGTGTCAATCCTTCTCATTGCAGATCTTCCTCTCTCTAACTGACCTTCCATTTTTTCAAGGAATAACCTCTCCTAGTAACATGCCCAAAGTATGTGAAACGAAACTTGGCCATCCTTGATTCCAAGGAGTACTCTGGCTGTACTTTTTCTAAGACACATCTGTTTGTTCTTTTGGCAGTCCTCAGGCTATTCCGTGACCTTCTCCACCACCACAACTCCAAGGCATCGTTCTTCTTCTGTCATCCTTACTCACTGTCCAGCTCTCAGAGGCATAGCAAGTGACTGGAAAGACCATGGCCTGAATCATGTACACCACAGTCTTCAAACTAACAGCACTGCTCCTCAGTAGTTTGAAGAGGTTCCTGACAGCAGGCTTGCCCAACGCAATACATCTCCTGATCTCCACACTGCTGGTACCAAGAGTGTTGACTGTGGATCCAAGTACGATGAGATAATTGATAATTTTAGTCCTTCTTCAATCTATCATGATGTTGCTTATTGGTCCAGTGGTGAGGAGTTT